TAGTGGAGGTGATAGTTTTTATGGAGGTCGTAATCGATGTTGATGTTGAGGTATGAACTTTTGGACATGGCAAGAAAACAGTTGGATTACAAAAGACGACCTTTGTGCATTTGTCTTTATCACAGTGGATAGGACTATTTTCACTATTTTTATCAAGAATACAGACAACGTTCTTATCTCTTTTAGAAGGGATAATGGTGGTAGTGGTAATGGTTGGGGTTGGGGTTGTGATACCGACAACGACCTTATCTCTTTTAAGAAGGGGGGCAAAGATAGTGGTGGTGAAAGGTTCAGTGGTAATGATTGTGGTTGTGGCTGTGGTTGTGGCTGTGGTTGTGGTGGTTGTTGTGGTTGTGATGGTGGTGGTAGTGGAAATCTTTGGGCAATTTGTGGGAGATATGGTTTTAGTATGATGGTGCGTTGAAGTGATGGTGATGCATTTTTTAGCAGTTGCTGGTGAAAAGGAAAAAAGCATCAAGACGACTATAGTAGCCGTAGCGAAAAGAAAGTTTCTATTTAACAACATCACAGAGGAAAAGTTGCGAAGAGAGAAAAGTTTTGAGTTATTTAGGAACGTTAATTACGATTAGCATAGGTCTTGTATATTTATATAACATATTGAGCAAACGAACACGTCAAATGCTGGATAAATTACATTTACTAATATGGTAACCGCAATTCAAATAACATTTACCGTACAATGAACATTAATGTACATAATTTAACACAAGAAAGCTTCTACCATAATTGTTTCTAAATAACCATATATCGTACAATAACCATAATTTAACACAAGAAAGCTTTAGTGTACATAATTTAACACAAGAAAGCTTTAGTGTACATAATTTAACACAAGAAAGCTTCTACCATAATTGGTTCTATACATACATGATTGTTTTCATTTTCATTTACAGTATTTAAGAAAATGTACGTGAAAATTGATCGCAAAAAAAGATCTCACAAAAGAAGAACGTCATACGATAAAGATGCTAAAAAGAGAATGCATGTCTCCAAACATTGTAGTTGAA